CACGGGGGGGGGGGGGGACAGTGGGTTGGGAGGGTGAGGCACTGCCAGCACCAGGGGTCTGTGGGTCAGGAGCGAAGGGAACCAGCGGGGATGGGGGTGGGGCCGCGGGTTGGGACTGAGGGGCACCAGCATGGCCCAGGGGAGCAGGGTACTGCTCTTTGGAGATGAGATGCACTGGCATGGCTGGGGTCTGCAGGTCTGTAGTGAGGGGCAGCAGCAGGGCTTAGGGGGTGGGGGCTGTGGCTTGGGAGGTAAGGGCAACATAATGGGCAGGGGCAGGACACCAGCATATTACGCCCCCCCCCCACCTGTGAGTGGGGTCATATACCCCTATACCCCATATAATTGATATACACCTCCCCCCCTTCCACCCATGTGACAGATGTCCTCTTTTTTGGAACTGGAAATATGGTAACCCTCTACTAAGAGGTAGAGTGATTACACCTTAGTATAGCAAGTATGTTTCTGTCTTTGGTACCTGGCAAACATCTTTAAAAATGTTAGCTATAAAGAAAGGACAGGGAGGAAGAGGAGGAGGAAGAAAATGAAAGGTGTAGAGTGGCTATACCTTAGTGTAACATAAACTGGGTAACATTGCCCTGGAGTGGTGTAACTTTGAGGTGCAGTAATGCTTAAAACAAGTTTCAGGTAATATGAGGACAATTCAGGTGTGAAGACCTCCATTAGCTGGCCAAAATTACTGTGCAACAAGGCCCTTATTCACTCATTGTCTAGACAACCAATAAAGGGCAATCCATTGTTTAAGTGGTGTTTATTTTTTCTATATTGAAATACTCTCCATCAAAGTCTCATCATGGGCACAGGCCTCTGATCTGCAAATGAAAAGTCTTCTAATCTCTATTCTGCCCTTTGAAACTTCCAAAATAGAATCCTGCTCACCTTATTTGTAGATCATTCATTTTTTCACAAGACATGAAAACTAGTATCCTAGGATAGTGGGAAGAGTATAGAGGAGACCACTGGCTCTCCTTTAGAGGACTCAACAAAAGGAAGCACATTGAAAATGGTCACTGGCTTCATTTATATCAACTGAGCCATAAGAATCTGTCTGTAGATCTAACTTCTATATACTCAGACTTACTCAGCTAACAAAAATCCAGATGTTTTCCAGAATCTGCATCGTTTTAAACACACCATGAACACATTATCTGCATAGATCACTGAGAGTAAAACCATATAGACATTTGCAGATTGCAGATTGATTTTGCTCTGGGTAGGTATTCTTCAGAAAGTGAGTCTTTGAAGATGTGAACTATATTGTTTAGTCAACCAAAAGCAATGTAAGAAAAGATAGATATTCAGATATGTATTAATATTCATGACTCATTTTTAATTTGCTTTCTTCAAGACCATGGAATCCATTGATGGTGGAAAACTCTTTTCCTCTTCCTACCTGATGGATTTGGGAGCCTGTATTAAAACTCTACGCTACTGTGCAGGCTGGGCTGATAAAATTCAAGGTCGTACCATCCCAATGGGTGAGTAGTACTGAGACAATCTTCTCAAGCATGGAACTTATTTAAGTATGATGAACCTTTGAACTATCTTTTTCTAAAATTTATGTAGCATGGAAAATAGCTCACCTTGGGAAAGATTTCAGATAAACATTAATAATATGAGTCAGTTAAGGCTTACCAGATATCCCTTTTTACACACTTGGCACAGTTAGTATGGCTTATTTATGTATTTGGCAGATATTCAACTTTAAAAAAGTATAATTTATTGACTAGAAAGAGGTTAGGCTCTATATAAAAATAAATATGAAGGTTTAATTTTAATAAGCAATGTTAGTAGTAGAGTTTACATAGTGTTATGGCATTATAAACTGGATGTTAAAAAAGAGACTTTGGCTCAACAGATGATAAGGCCAAGACCAAAAGAAAGTGAAGCGGCATACTAGTCATGGATTTAATTTGAAGGTGGTTTAGGAAGAGTGACTGAGGGATGTGGAAGAAATTCACTTAATTTTGTTCAAACCACATTCAGTTAGGCCCCAGTCAAAAAGCCACTTTTTGACTGGCTTGCCTTCTCTCAGAAAGAAGAAGATGTAATGATGGAGGATTGTATTGTATGTATAAATTGTATTTATCTTCAAGCTTTTGGGCGCACACACCCTTCATCAGACACAGGAGAGAGCAGAGATTGTAAAAGTTATCCTAGGTAGAAATGCAAATTTAGGATTGTTGGTAGCTTTTAAAAACATACATTAAGAAAAAGAAGGAATAAAAAAACTGTTCAGTAAGTATGATTTAGTCAACATATGAATAAGTCTTTCCAGAATAGAGACAGAATCAGATCTACCACTGGGAAACATTTTGAATGGGGCAGAATCAAACCTTCAAGCATGTGGAAAAAAATCAAGATTGAATCCAGATGTGTTTTTGTTGTGGTTGCTTACTTGAAATATTGCAAATACCATTTGTAAGTATGATTGTTTGAGGCTGTTTGGTACCTAAATCTGTTATCTTTTTGCTCTACTCTCTCACAAATGTTTTTGTCTGAATGTGCTTTTTTTTCCTTGTTAGATGGAAATTTTTTCACATTTACAAGACATGAACCAATTGGTGTATGTGGCCAAATTATTCCTGTAAGTTGGAACCATTCACATATAATAAAGATGTTTAAATTCATTTAGCAAAATTATGTTTCCATGAATAGATAAATGAATTTTTAACCACCGGCATCTTTTTCCTCAGTCCAAAGTATGGTTTCACATCCTGATCCTGAGTGTTGTTCCAGGTCTTGAAGGTTCACTGAAACTGGGAGATATTTGCCACCTAACTAACTTTTTGGATCAGAAATATGGGGTCAACTTATACCAGCACCTGTGTGCCCTCACTGCTGGCCGGGCACCCGGGGGGTGGACACATGCCACAGCATCACTCGCAGGGGACAGGGCTGGGCTCAACACAGCCCCATCCCCTGTGGGTGGCACTGCCTGGGCCAGCTGAGCACTGGGCCTGGCACCGCTCACAGGGGATGAAACCACACCAGCCAAGTGCCAAGCCTGTCCCTGTCTCCTGCGAGCAGCGCTGCCAAGTGCTGAGCCCAGCCCTATCCCCTGAGACCAGTGCCAGGATCAGCACTTGGCTCATGCAGCTGGGCTCTGAGCTCATCAGTGTCACTTGCAGTGACAGGGACAGGCTTGGTACTCAGCAGGCATGGCCCAGGCAGCACAGCTTGCAGGGAATGGGGCCACACCAGCTGAGCACCAAACCTGGCCCCCTCCTCTATGAGCAGTGCTGGGCTCGGCACTGAACTGGCACACCCCCATCTCCTGTGTGCGGTGCTGCCAGGGCTGTGCCAGCCAAGTGCCGAGCCTGGCCACACCAGTCAAGTGCTAAGCCTAGTGACGCTCACAAAGGCCAGTGATATAGTGTATAAGTCAATGTTGAATTTTAAGAGTTAAAAATTGGGTTTCAAAACTCAACGTATACACTGTGAAATATGGTTTCTAATGACTGATCAACTGAATGATTCTGGAAGTCACAAGAATTATTTTCCTAGTTCTTCCATTTACCTGTGTTATGTAATGATTTCAAGCAAATGGCTCAAGTAAAATTAGACAGTGGGTGTGCCTATACATGCTTTTACACACACCTAAACTTAATGCACATTTGCCTAATGTGCCTTAAGGTGATTTAGGCGTGCATCTACATATGCACATGCTAAAGTGCATTTAAGGCACTGTGTGGACTGTCTTAGGACTAAAGTCAGTCCCAAGTCAGTTGATATACACAGCATTAATGTTTTTAGCACGTCTACGTGTGCATCGAGGTGCTTTAGCTATTCCCACCTGAATTTGATACCTGCTTTTGCAGCTATCAAATTTAGGTGTGAATTAACCTAAAATCACCATTTTTACAGTGCATTAAGGGCACACGTGTAGACTTGTGCCCTTAATGTGCCTTAAATTGGGCTAAAGTTCCTTAAATTGGCATGTGTAGATGTGCGCAGTAAATTCTTCATAATTTTGTATACCTTGGGGTCTTGAGTGCCCAATTGGAAACATTTTGGATTAAATCCTATATCATTTTACATGCCTGTGTGATATATATGAAACCATGTAACTCCAGTTTATAGCATTTATGAGGTGTTAGCAATTCAGCTTCTGGTGTGCAAATATGCATAAGCCCAGTTAACATGCTCAGTAGGGTTGTGTGCTGGCCAGCAGGTAACAATCACAGCTAATTGCACGCCTAGTGCTGGGTAAATCCCCAAATTTTACTCATAGAAAAACTATGACTAGTAAGAGGAGAAACAGAGCCCTCCCACTGTTAGTTCAATAGTCTAGTTCTTAGGGCGCTTGTGTAGAGAGGATGAAACTCAGGGTATGGACAGGAGTTCATTTTTAGTGGTGGAAATTTCTCAGAATTTCTGAGAAACTTCCACTGTTTGAAATCTTTCTGAGAGAGGGAGCTCTACAGACATTTGGCCTACAGCTTCCCCCTTTCCTATGCTCCTTATACTTCCCCAGACAAGGGCCATTTCAGTCTGGGGAAGGCATAAGGAAAGCTGGTGCACTGCTTGACTCCGGCCAGTCACAGAGACAGAGTACATGTTAAACCTGCCGAAGAAGTACATATCAAACAGTACAGCTTTTCAACACCACCAGCAACAGGAATGAGTGACTATGTCATTATCCGTCTTTGCTGATTGTGGTATTGAGACAGATGGTGGTTAGCCTGAATATATTTCCTGTTCATTATGAAATGCTACTAGGTGTCTTTCCAGACATGTGGAACAAGTGAGAAGGCAAATGAATCCACTCACCTTGCAGACTAGATTGAGGGCATCAGTAGGGTGCCCATGAGAGCCATTTGGTGAGATGTGGGGTGATCATGTACTAGCCTGTCTCCTTAAGTACAATGGTTCAGAGATAAGATGGACTCTGCTAAAGAAGGAAATAGCAAAATTCATCAGTTTTACCATCAATCTGGCTTCACAGTTTCAGCTTCATGTCAGCTCCAACTGCCAGTTTGGATTCACTGAAATCAGCTACACCCATATCACTGGGTTTTGCACAGTCCTGTATATGGGCTTCTGTTCAAAGTGTCTGCACAAAGAAACCCACAGAGTCCAACAGCCTGTACTATTGTCCTAGGGAAACAAAATGCTATAAAGTGATATGTTAGAAAATAAATAAAAACTGGATAAAAGTCCTCCTCATCTGTCTTTTAGTGGAACTTCCCGTTGGTTATGTTCACTTGGAAGATTGCCCCAGCCCTTTGCTGTGGAAACACAGTGGTTGTCAAACCAGCAGAACAAACTCCACTGACTGCTATTTACATGGGCTCTTTAATTAAAGAGGTAAGTGTGCCATACTAGAGCTATTGCTGTTTACTAAGGAGGCAAGTTAAGGAATGTAAGGAAATACTTTGTCTCTTAGTACATTTTGGTAGAAAGAGCTAATCGGCCCTGTACTAATACAGCTCATAGCATAGCCTTGTACTATGGAACTTACTTAACTGTGAATCTGCAAAGCAAGGGTAAAAAGCCTACATATCTTTCACCTTAGCCTTCTCAAAAAAAAAATTCTCGCACACAAACACACACACACACAGAGTAGCAACGTAGCAAACTACATTTCTTGGCAATGACTGTGTATTACAAAAGCATCATAACTTTCAAAGGAAAAACAAAGAATTCAAAGCAAAGCATTTAGAAGTGGGTGGCTTTGCCCAGACACACATTTTGTTCACCTGAGTTTATGATTAATCAAAAGCTGTAAAGTTAAACAGCTTCTCACAATACAGTGTCTCGAGAGAGTACAACTGCTGTAGTTCTGAATGTTTGAAGTACAGTAGTTTATAACATTCCATAGATTTAAAAGTAAAGTTGACTGGGGTTCAAGGTTAGCAAAGACACCAGAGAAAGAGCAGTGAATCAGTTAAACAGGTTTTTGCTCTGCCAGAGGAATCAACATAAGCAAACAAAAAGCTTTAAATAGGTATGGTTAATCCACTAATGTCAACAATCACTAGCCCAGTAATTAGCTATGTCAATAATCACCAGTCCAAAGTACTAACGCACTGACTCAACATATTTTTTTCTGTTCTGCTTCATAACAATGACTAATCAGAAATACAGTAATCAAATAGGTATAGGATATGGTACACTTGGGGAAAACAATGTAATGAAACGGTAAACAAGAAATGATAGTTCGATTGGAAAATGAAGTTCAAGAAACATTACCTTAGATCTGTTTTGGCTCTGATGAAGTAGCTACTTTAATAATCCATCTTTCTATTCAGACTAACATTTTTTCTGCCATTAAGATTTGGTGTTATTCTGCAACTATGATAACTAGTCTGATACTACAAAGTTCCTATACAGAGATGAGTAAAAAAGTATAACATCATTTGTCATTACATTTTGATTTTTTTATTTTAATTTTTCTTCCCTACCCCTCCCCGCCCTTTATCCAAATTTCAGCTGCTCCAGTATAGTTGAATATGAATTTTAAATGTCCAGGTTGAATGTCTTTAATGAATACACAGTGCATTTTTAGAGGGTGTTGGTTGTAGCCATGTTGGTCACTTTTCAAGGTGCTAATTAATAACCATACAAGTATATGAATGGTTATTAAGGAGAAAGGAAATAAGTAGGCAAAGTCACAGGGAATGAATTAAATAGCCTTACTGAGTCTGAAAAAAAAACCTGACCAGTTTATTTATTATTATTTATTTCTACAGAGGAGAGACGAGCATTCAAATTAATACTGTATCATCAATTGACAATAACACTGAAACATTACAGCAGAGTTGCCCCCACTCCAACTCCCTAAAAGAGTGTCTGTAATAAAAAGGACACAAAGCAAAAAAGAAATAAATACCAAGTAGAAATAGGGAACCTCTTTGACTAGGGGTGGGAAAGACTTTGGCTGATTGGGGAAAGGTTGCTGGTGGTCTATATAAGAGAAAATATGGGTGCGTCTACACAAGATGTTTTACTCAAGATTACAGCCAATTACTGCCCAGTAAACATCACCATCTACATGTGCAGACACTAACTGTGCAGCAATTAGCTCTACTCATGAGTAATACAAGTAGTAAATTTACTCTCAGTTTTTTACTACACAGTAGCACACATGTAGATGCCTGACTAGTGCCAGCTCCACAGTCACAGGGCCAGGTCTCTGGGAGATTACTCTCTCCCAGTGCTGGCCCCAAGACCACATAGCTGGTGCTGGGAGATAAGGACCTCTCAGCCTGGGCCCCATGACTGTAGAGCTTGGGCTGGGAGACAAGCTTCTCCCTGTGCCAGCCCCGTGATCACAGAGCAGGGGCTGGGAACTCCCTGCTGCCCGGGCAGCGGGACATTGTCCCCACCTGGGAACTGGTGGTGGCACCTGCCCTGGTTGCAGGCAGCTCCTCGGGGCAGAGAGCAATGTCCCAGCCCCAACTAGGAGACAGCTGTTTCCTGGCCCTGTGCTCTCTGCCAGCCCCTGAGCTAGAACAAGGGGAAGTCTAAAGCTTTCCCTGGTTGTTGCTGGGGTCGATGCAGGGCTGGCAGGGGTGGGAGCAGATTGCTGCCATGAGGAGCAAATCTGCTACTGAGTCCCTATACAGGTACATGCATGCCCAGGAGAGTTTATTCTAGAGTAATTTACTGGAGAGTAAACTGCTTCCTAAGATTATCTGCACATGTACATGCACCCTCTGTGTAAGAGAAAGGGAAATAATCTTCTAGTCTTAATTGTTTCTTCAGAAGATGGTTTTTTTTTTCTCCTATTCAGGCAGGATTTCCACCTGGGGTAGTAAATATTGTGCCAGGTTATGGACCTACTGCGGGATCAGCAATTTCTCACCACATGGACATAGATAAAGTGTCTTTCACAGGCTCCACAGAGGTATTATAATGAATGCAAGTAATTATAAACTGGAATTCTCTGAACCCTCTGATTCTGAGTAATGATTTAGTGTGTAGCTTGTTTTTACATAATTATTTAAACTTTTTCTAGCCTGTTTTGTCAAACAAAAGTCTGTTTAATGATTTGTTGGTTATTATAAAATCCCAACATATCTGAACAGTGTTTGTATTATAGGAAGGCCCCCTTAAACAAAGGAAGCCAATGAGATGCAGTGGCTTCTAAGTTAGCAGCACTGTTTCAAGCATTTAAAAAAAATGTTTGGTTTGGTTTTGCTTAATAGTTTTATTTTTGCAATCTTGAAAATTCAACAAGCTGTGCTTTATTTAATTTAATAACCACCACCACATTCCTAATGATTACCCAGATGATTCGTTGGCATATGCTTAACTTTGGGCGTGCCTATACATGCAGTACTGCACAAGTCTACACTTGGTACTGCGCAGTCCTGGCAATGCACAGGTAGTTTCCAACCCTACTGGGCAGAAGAGCAAGCTACTATGCAGTAGCTTGTTGCTACTGCTTAGTAGCAGCAGCATCACAGTTAATGCCCACCAACACTACATGGACACAGCAATGAGCTACATCTCTGTAGCTCATCCTTACAGCGATGTAGCATCTCACGTGCGCTTGCCATTTATGTACCTGAATGATCTTAATGCAGTCAATGGGACTACTCACATGTGTAAAATAAAGCTTATGTCAAAGTCTTTTCACTGGGTTTTGGTGGAAGATCAGTGAAGGCATCTTGCTACCACTCCAGAGGTGTGAATTTGAGCATTGTAAATAAAATTGTCATTTGTGTTATATTTTAGGTTGGCAAACTGATCAAAGCAGCTGCTGGGAGGAGTAATCTAAAGAGAGTCACCTTGGAACTTGGCGGGAAAAGTCCTAATATTATATTTGCAGATGCAGACTGTTAGTAGTGCCATTTATCCTTTTGTTATATTAACTTTCTTCTTTTACAAGTCATGGAGGTTAGACCATCTGCCCAGATGGGGTGTGGGGTTTTTTTGCTTGTTTTTTTTCATTTTTTCCCATATATACAATGCTTTGCCTCCAGCTAAGACATGTTGGTGATTCTTTTCCAATGTAGTCAGGCAAGAATCTTTTTAACTATGTCATAAAGACATTCAGGGCCCCCTCTAACTTATGGTGCTTTACTTAAAGTGCCAAGAGTTAGAGTCCCCTCTCCAAACATGACCCAACAGATGTTCACCTGCTGGGTCAGTGGGTGGGAGGGAACAAGTCTGTCTGCATTGGCCCTAGCCAACAGGCAAGGGCACTCCAGCAGCCTCTAAGGAGGCTGGCGAACCCCCTCT